TTTGGTTGCTGGGATACTTTTCATATAATAGGCTGATTGAATTGATCATATGAAGCCTATGCAACAACTAACTTACATCGTTATGCTCACTGTAACTTACTGTGCCTTCTGAATGAATCTTTTATAGAGTAGAACTTCTTAGAACAGCTTATTAACAAAACGTTTTTATTACTAATAGTTAATAAGTGTAAAAGATCATTACTATAAACTACATTGAAAGGACAGATTTCTGAAGTAACTTTACTGAAGAACTAAATGTTAGTTGGATAAACGAATAACATTGTACTTGATATATATGCACAATAATACGGTTCAAGATATTCGAAGTAATTATGACGCTCACACTGATTTACTTTTCATACTTGTTGACAAGATTCAATATGATGGATGCAAAACTTCATTGAAACCGATTTCTCATCAATCAGTTCAAGCAGTTTCACTTAGCTTCGAAGGGATTTTTATCAGTAATCTATCCAGACAATAGCTTGCCCTATTTAAAACTCTTTTCTGCAAATGAATTGGTTATCTTCCTTTCAGTATCCAATGTTTAATGTTGTGTAACACAAAAAAATATAAGTAAACTTTATGGACATATTGAAAATGTGATCGATAAATTCCGTGAATACTGAACTACTAGTGCTTAATATTAAATTCATTAGTTATCCAATGACCGATTCACTTTTTTCTTTGTTTCTGCTCCAAAAGGTAAGGAAACACGATTAACTATTTTTGAAGGAACTAAACAAATTGATTGTTTTTTGAATCCAGAAGGTTGTCTAGATGCTTCACGCAGAACGACTTACCAACATTACTTTATCGCTCGAGTATTTATGAGGAGAGAATATCTTCCTAGAAAGAAAGTTGTCCACTTTCAGAAGATGAGATGAATTCAATATTTCTAGTTTTCTGTCCTTTAAATATTAATTACCACGTTACTGTTGAAACTGCAATAATGAATGAAGTTCAGTTAATGTTTGTATACATAGATTGGTTACAGGAGGTTAACTAATCTCATCTTGTCTGAGTGTTGACCGAATTCTATCGATCATTTTACAATGATGCTGCAGGGCTAGTAAACTCCTTATCTTAATGCACTGAGATAGTTGTTATTTGGTTAAAAGCAGTGGGTACCAAGCCCATGATTTAATTTTCAAGCTTATCGGCATTCGTAACCGAGTCGTTTATGCAACGTCGATATGAAAACGGTATTCCAATGTATTCAATACAGTTTTTCAGGGGGTTTGTTGCGGTCCATCTCTGACTGCAACATCGAGTAACATGGACTTGAATCTCATAGATGATATCATTTCCATAAATATCGGAGATACTCTTCGACTGTATTTGTCTAAACGTATTCCTAGAGATCACTGTGTGATCTACATGCTCCCTCCACCTCTTCTCTTGTGCATGAAAGCTTTTGCCACAAATAAATACCATTTTAATTGTCTGAGGTAGCTTTGATTTGACGAACTAGTATTGATAGTGAATGGTGATTGAAGGTGAGACCGGGTGGTTGTTGATTCGAATCCAACCGCTTGATTCATGTTTGATATCATAGTTTGACAGGAAGCTGAAGACTCAACTTCATAATCACCTCATCTCATAAACGGTATCCGATCCATGAACTGTAACATAAAATATTCAGTCATAAAGGATTTGTAACAAAATAAGTATTGTTAATTTTTGCAGGTTTTCATTGATAAGGGAATATTCTAAATGCTGTCAATGTGTGTGAAATTAAATATAAAAGTGTGACACTGGTGGAAAATCCCAGTTCAATAGGTCGTTTCTGTGTGGAGTATTCTGCCTAAAAGCTGCGGTATATATAATCAAACAAAACCAAAAAGTATCCAAAATCTGAACATATGCCTCCTAGAACTCGATAATGAAAAAGTGGGTAATCATAAAACTCAAACAAACCAGTTGGACAGTCTATGTTATTGAATGGAATTAGAATTACAGTGAAAAACCAGTCACTCAAGAAAGTAAACATAAAACGCTATAAACTAGAAGCGAAAACCAGCTTAACAGCAGAGTCATTTCAGTTGCATGAAGCTAATCGTCAAAAGCGCTGGACACATGTTTCGTAACTTCTGGCACTCATCAGCAAGGCGTATCTGCAACCTCGACAGAAATGATGTACCACCTGAGATTCTAACCCACACCACGCAGTATTGCAGTCAGAGCTATTCAGGCCGCGGTTGACTTCCTGCAGGACTAGTCTAGGAGTATTCACTAGCTTTTGGAGGGTAGTCAACTACATGTAGTTTAGTTCTAAGTGCCGGTTGGACTCTATCAATCATTTTGAAATGTGCCTTATAGACTAGAAGGCTTGCAGTTGCAATGCACTTAATTAGATCTTAGTTGGGTGTAGGTAATCGGAGGGGAGCTGTGAACTTATATTTAGAGCCTTTTAGCACTCCTCAGCAAGCCTAATACGATCATCATTGAGATCTAAACTACATAAAGTTGAATACTCCCCAGTATTCAATCACTTGCGACCTGAATAGTTCACTGGTTACGCCTCTGACTGGAACACCGAGACACTAGTTCAGTAGAGGTTGCATGTACGCCTTTCTGGTTAGCGCCGAAAAGCATGAGACCTAGATTTAGAGTTTCCTGCAGACTGCCTTCATCCGAGTAACATCTTTCAAAGGCGCATCGTGATATTAAGCACGCTGGCTGGTGATCATATTTCAGAATGATCGATACAATTCTATCAGCAATTATGACTGGACAATATGAAGTTGGTTACCCTCCATTAATCAGTCAATAAGTAGAGTGGATTGTCAGATAGCTTATCAGTTAAATGGAATTAATTTATTAGGATGAATGTCAAATATTCACCTAAATCTCTTTTCTTCAATTCTTAGTAATGAAAATTATTAGATTATACTAGTTAAGTTGATCTTCAGTGATGTTGATCAATATAAAACTCAACTGTGCACAGAAGAGTCGGTTCTAACCACTTGATAATGAAGTCAGGTTGCATAAAATTTACGAAATATCATTGTTATTGTTGAAATAAGTGGACAGGAAAAAATGAAACATTTAATCATATAATGATCTCAACTAAAATATTCAAATCACATATGAAAATGTTCATTGAAATGAAACACCAAAATATAAACTTGTGAGTTGATGAAATCAAGCTTTGCTACAAGCTAACACTTATTTAGAACATATTTTCTGAAGCATCAATAAAAGGCGGCAGTTGAAAAGATTAGGTGTTCCAGCTTTTATTTCTTTATATGATAAACCTACCACTGTTGTTTAAATGATCTTACCTGTCTGATGATAAAGGTAATTAAATGTCTAATAAATACCATTTGAACGCTTTTAAAACTTTTGGGATATTGAACTTATTTGCTACTTTTCAACCTACCAGCCGCTTTTTTAAGAAATTCGAGATATAGCTTCTAGTTTCACTAATACGTGGAGTATAAAATTTTTAGAAAACAAAACTATAGATGCTTAAATCTTCGTCTTTCGCTTTTATTAAAAATGTCCACTATTCATACAGAAGCAGTGAAAATATGCAGAAGGCTAATTTACTGATCTCCGGTATTCACAAACTCAACCAACCCACAAAGTTTAGCACAACTTCCATGTCCTACATATCTTAAGTGAATGTTTGAATCACAAGAAGTCTCGTTTATGTGCAGAGATGAGTGCACATTGTAACAATGAAGAAAGTACCACTGTTTTAGTCTATTCAAAAACACTCATTTTAATAAAGATCTCAGAAGAAACTGCACTTATGAAATAAAATGAAGTGACTTACTTTTCTGAAAAAAGTGAGCTAAGAAGTGATTCCTAACAACTCAAATAGAATAACTTAAACACCTGACCACTTCTATATGCTTATATCAGTTCATATTGTCTTTAGCAACCGGATATATAGGTCGTTTGATACGTTAGTTATCCAAAATGGTTCAGGAGCACTATCCCACATGGTTATAAAAAGTTAAAAATGGAGTGTTACAACTGAACATATCGTCAGCACGAATTACCTAGTCTCAGTAAACCTTCCAAAGGCTGTATGTTTTCGTATTCTCTGTATCTTGCCATACATATGGAGAAAACTGAACCGTGTACGCCAAAGAAGTTTGTTTAACCCCTTCTCCTTCCATGGTCTAAGTTTTCAGACTTTGAAATTTCCTCCAACCCCTCTTACTTTTTCTTTTAATTGTCCTGTTTTGTCACTTCACCTCTTAGGTAGTTTGCTTCTCATTCTTGTTCTCATGTTCTGTCTGATCACGATTAGTTCCCAGTTGTGTCGTCATTTCACAAAACGTCATGTCCAAACTTATTTGGATTATTATTAACCATTCATCAGAGTTTCCTTTGATTTCTTGATCTTAATGCCACTGTTTGCGTTGCTATGCCTAAGAAACCATTTTTAACTATCAAATCTTCACAATGGAAAAATGTATAAATTTGCTATCGTAAAGCTTTGAAAATGAAATCGTCTCAAAGAGGCTCTTTGTTGAAATATTGATTCTTCGTTAAAAATCAATTTTAACATGGAAACTAGTTTCTTGAAAAGTGTTTCCATTTCTTAAGACAAACATAATTGAAAAAAAGTCATTCATAAAAGACATCATGGTTTATATCTCAAATTTTGGCAAACATTTGTTTGCAGTATCTGTTATGGCATCGAAATAACCAATGGAGTTAGAAATACCGACAAGATTGTCTCCTTGAATCTTATTCATTGAGCAACGTCATCAGAGTTCATTAGTTCGCTAAAGTTGTTTTTCCAAGATGCATCTAATCTTTTGTCATGTCAAGAAAAAAGGTTTCATTCATCTTCGAATCACAGTAATTTTGTTTTAAACTTAAAAATGCTTTGCAAAAACATTCGAGTCTCCTACGAGTTGAAAACAAAAAGTTGAAGTGTATATTTCATATTGCTACATCCCCGTAATTAAAGATTCACAAAACATGCCATTCAAAACGTAATAGTATATATTGAGTTGTCTTTTTCATACTTAAAGGTTCTTCAAGTTCATTACCATCACTGGATACTGGAGGTAGTAGTTCAACTGGAGGAGGATGTAGCAGTGGTCAAACACAGGCAGAAGAAGATCGAAATACAAGAGAAAAGTTGAGTACAAACGACCGGGCGTCCTCACATTCCCCATCTGAAACATCCAGACTTCCAGTTGAAAGTGATAAACGCATATCACATGTTACACAAGGAGCACGCTCTGATGATACAAACGATTCTCAGAGTGATAGTTTATCGGCTTCGATAGCTGACAAGAAAGCATTAGTTTTGGTGAGTTCACTAACTGACGTAAATTCTCGAAAACTTTATTTTTTATTTCTGTTGAATATGCTTTTGAAACAGGAATACACTTCATCATATTTTTGCAGAATACCATCAAACACCCATGAATTCAAATGAAGCATTTCAGATACACACACTCTTCAGAGTTAACACATTCTATCTCCAACTTATGAAACAAGCCTGACATCTTCAAGCCAAGTATCACTTTTAGAATAAACAAAATGGTTTCTATCATAGAAAACTTCTGATATAATGAGATTCAATGAAATTAGAAGCTATAAATGATCATGTACTTTGGTTTTTGGCAGATATTTTGCTCTCCGTAGTGGTTATCAGTATAATCAGAATAGTGTAAATCAGGTAGTTGTAAATAAATAACAAAATTGTGATATAAAGTCTTACACAACACATGTGATACACATTAGTGGTGAAATATTTTGGCCATCTCTACGGTTGATTGCACACAGTAATAATAAGATGCAATTCATGAAGACTTAATAGAATTGTATGATGATGCGATAATATTCGGTCTTTAATAGTGTCTTTTTTATTGATCACTCAGAAAAATGAAATGGAACACTTAAAGTAGATGTGTCAATAAAGTTATTCGTCTTTTATCATAAATACCTAATTAATGCATAACATAGGTAATATGATCGTCTTTTCTATTCAGAAAAGATGGCGTGAATTTGTACAATACAATAGTTTCATACCAGTTTTTGTATTGATTTTTGAAATTATCTAAATGAAACTTTTCTGAATCATTTAGACTTAAACCTTGGTTACAATTTCAAGTTTTATTGCTACAGTAAAACGATGCACTTACTTTCTAAATGATTCTTAAAAATGGCAATTCGTTTCATATATGCGTTTAAACATGATTAATAATTTCAACTAACGGTAATGTTTTGTGGACATTTTCAGGATTAATTATCCCTCTAACCGACGAATATTTTGTACAGACATTTTAGAAAAGGTTTTTAATTTAGTTCAGCTTATTTGTAGTATATGCAATTCTTGGTTATTCTGATTTCAGCATAGAATGGTTGTTTTCTCACAAGATTTGATGATTCTGAGTTTTTTTCAGAGAGGTACTAGGCAAAACTTTAAGTTCTATTGTCCATGCTATCATCCATGAAACTGAATACAATTTCAAATTATTAGCTTAAGCTGGACATATTTAGGTCAACGATAATCCGTAGCTAAACGTCACAGTTCACAGCCTATGAAATGCCAGTTCATAGATGAGTCAGGGATATTATACTAATTCATAGATCTCAGCGCTTTTGAGCTCCAGTTATACGTGGCATCCGATAACACTAAATATAAATGTGCTCTGATATATGACGAAACATCTGTTCAAATTTTTTTGTAATGACACGAAGAAAACATAAGATCCACACTAGATAAAAGGCAACTATAGCGTCAGTAAGTTACAATCACACCATTAACTGGATATAGTACAGCACATGTCAACACATCAGTAGTAGTTTTCTCCTTAACCATACTCTATGTCATTCACCCAAGGAATTCTAAGGTAGTCACTGAAAATAACTCTCTCGTGAGTCGAATGAACATCAACTACCTAAATAGTATATAGGTTAGATATGCAAGTATACTCATTTATTTGATAAATTAAGACACAGGTTTCTTTTAAGTGGCTAGGGAATTGCATTTATTTTCCTTCTGGTTGTATCCTTCTAGATCTAATTGTTTTCTGTACTCGATTTTTAGTCGAGAAGACGTCATACAGTCAAAGAACTCATTCATGTTGAAAAGGAATATGTCAGCGCACTAACAACTCTTGTCAATGTAAGTATATGCCACCATTTTTTAAAAATTAGATATTTTACATGCATATTTAGAACAAGTCAAAACAATAATAAAACTTCTAACCTATTTGTCATCCTATGTACCATGCACTGACTTACACATATTTCTTAGTGGTTATTGATAGAGCTTGCGTACCTAAATGTTGATGAATAAAATGAAACTGACATTAATTTGGATACCTGCATCATTACATTTATCCCTCCTCAAGATAAATAACATCAGTTAATCTGTATAACTAAATTATTGGTCCATATGGTCGTATATCTTTCAGGATACTGATAGAAAGATGTGTATCTGTGTCAGTTTTTTCTTCTCGTACTCACTAATTACTTCTCAACAGAAAGTGGAGAGAAGTCAATCTGTGCATTAACAAAATACCTTCCAGAGTGAAAAAATCCATTATTTTTGTGAAATTTCAGCATAGCTCTGGTTGCTTTAGAGGATAAAGTCTTCGAGTATAACAGTCTCTAGTAACTCTTGTACTTCAGTTTATGTTTATTTCATCGTTATTGTTGAATTAGATCTATGAAACATGCGGTATGTTAAACATATAGTTAAAAAACAACCATGAACCAGGTTTTTACTTTTTTGTCACCTATCAGTGAAGACAACTAACTGGTCAGCTATTTAGTTGACCCCTCATGAAATATTCTTTACTCTTCACTTCTGCTGTGACCGGTAGTATGACCGAAAAGTCTACAAGTGATACCAGCGCAGCAGTTCACAAGCAATACGAAAGCAAAGCACAAACTAATCAGCTCTAATGCTACTCTGAACGTCAACCACCACAATAACAATACCACCGACATTTTAAGACATGAAGAGAAGGTAGACTGTTGATAGACAGCTTTTACTGTTTCAGCAACAATCAAACCAGTTGAAAGCGATGCTGAATATATACATTTTTAAACGACCTTGACAACATTAAATCCACATTTAGGTTAAGAGAGTTAGCAACCAATGAGAGTTCAGTCTTCAGAGCAGTGGGAAACAAAAGTTAGCAATAGCGTGAAAACGGCATTGATAAATTATCGACAAAAATCAGGCAACAGTCGCGCAAAATTTAGAGTATTTAACAACTTCTAAAGTGAGTTTGGCTATATTTTTGATAATAGATTTTTTTTAAGTTTATAAACTGAAGATGATTTTAAGATTTTCTATTTCTCTCTTCATTTTCCAATGAAACTGGATTCACTTCTTGATAGATATAAAATCATTGTGATCACATCAGAAGATATATATCAAATGCCTTTATTCTTTTAGTTCTAAGTTTATTTTATGAGTTTGTGTTTCTAAGGGTTCTTTTTAATGTCTTCTTCATTTTTGTTTTCTCAAATTGAAGAGGTATATCACCGTAAAGTTGCGATAACCTCTCATCTTTAATTTAGATAATGAAAGCTAATGTTCGGGTTAAACATTTTGGGAATATTGAACTAGTGAATAGAAATATATTGTCTGAAGTAGACATATTAAACAGAGAATCTCCCATACTACTGACTCCACTATAGGTTTAACAGTTTTGTACCTAGATATGATCAAATTTTGATCAGAATCTTTGTAGTGATAAAAATGTATAATTCTTTAAAGTTTCAGAACAAGACAGAACAGATTTTAGAAGTTTGTTTGCTAATCATATGTACATCCATCTCCTTTCGATGAATTATTTAGTTTCAATAAGTTTAGTGATAATTTTATTGTTGAATGAAGATAGTATAGTATTTAAAGTGGTACATTCCACCTATTTCTTATAAAAAAAGTTTAATAAAATTTTTACAATAAAAACCACATTTTTATCACTTTACATATACAATGAGACACAAACAACGTTTTCAGGATAAAATCCCTAAATAAAGTGTTCAAAAATATCATTGAATGTGAGGGAACACAACAAATCCAGTTCATCTGAAGCCTAAAAGCCTGAGAGGTGCATAACAGTGTTTCCTAGCATATATTAAAATACCAAGGTTCATTTTTCATTCACTTAAACACAAAATATGGCTATTAATCGAACACATGAACAAGGCGTAAATAAGCACCTTGTTTTATATCTCGATGGAGAATATTCATTCATTTTAGTTAAATTGACCTTTCTCTTAGTTTCATTTTTCCCTAGTTCATCAAATTTATTGAACAACATGAACAATATATATCTGACTCAACAGATATTTCTCGTTTTGATTGCATCTGTCTAAAAAGTATTTTACTTTGTTCTTACACACTGAAATACCTCCAAGATTAATAGTAATATAAAGTCGCTAATAGTTGTGAAATATGTAGTCCTTCAGTACTTCAGTATGCCTTTTTTGTGATTAGTTATCAAGATGCAAGGCAACAGCCTGTTATTTTCCTATTAATGCTTATTCTTATTTGTTTGTGGAATTGTATACCTTATTTTTAATCTTTTGTAGATATTGCGAATGTATCTTATAAATTCGATATCACAGTATGATGCCTTTTAAATTACGAATCACTATGAAACTAAAATTATCAGGTGTTTATTTTCAATTGTAAGAAAAAATTACTAGTCAGGAGGACTTTTCATTTGATACTAATAAAATTTGTTAACTAGAGAATTCAATCTTACCTGAATATCTCATCATTTAAGGATATGTAACCTTAGTTTGATCACATGACATTATTTGGGGTCACACTGGAACCTATTTAACACCAACCAGTAACCATAGGAAGTATAAAAGTGAAAAAGAATTTGATATTGACATTCACGGTGGTGGATAATGAGTGTAATGAATTTCAGTCTAATGGTCAGTGTACCTTAAAAGAGGAAAAATGTTCGGCAATGTTTGCCTTTGTAAGTATTTGTGCACCTACCTATTTGTTTGTAAGTTAGTATTGTTATATGCTGTTATATAGATGATATGTTTGCATATAGACTGTGTACACACACATACACAGTTATACGCATTCACTCACACGCAAATAAACAAGGGTTCATAGTTCTTTCTTTCTATGCTGAAAAGTGTGTAAACAGAAAAAAGAATTTCCAAGCCGCACTTTGAAGTACTTTAGAGTCATATTTCGCATGTTTTCTTGCGTTCCATCTTAGCGCAATGTTTATTGACTACTAGTAGTAGTAGTAGTGGATAAACCAAAGTAATAAAGAAATAAGATACAATGTAAAAATCAATAAAAGTGACTTAAAAAGTTACTGAATTTATCTTCAAAAGTAATATCTTGAAGAAAAACTTGCTTTCTTCAGTATGTACAATGTTAGTAAAGTGGTCACGCATTGCATTCTAAAAGATTAGTAAATTTTCTACTATAATTATTAAGTAGTACACTTTTCTGTAAATGTTAAGACTTTATAAACTATCGATTAAAACTTCGCCACTTCTCCATCTCTTTATTAGATTATTTAATCTCTTTTAGTAGAAAGTGCATTCAGTAAAAAAAATCAATCTATTACTAGACAAAATAGCCTAATCATTTATCGTTTTGTCCATATTTTTAGTTACAGTTTTAAATTATACCATCAGATATATAGAAAGATTATCGATTACTAATGAAATCGTATTCATTTCGAGACAGCATGATCCTATTTCAACGTCATTAACCACTATCAATAAACCATTTTAGTCAGATAACGGTATTATTCATTTTTCGTAACATTTATCATAGTAAACTACACTTTTCCTTTTTATATAGGTTTATATGATACCACTGAACAAGAAAAAATTCTTGATGATCAACAAATTGATACAATTTCTTCAAAGTTCAAGAATTACTTATGTATCATATGAGCTTTTTGAATACACTTCAAATGTGGGAATTAACCAATACAGTTGGAGACAAGTTACTTGATATGGTAATACTCTTTATGCTTTCATGTTTTCTACGACTGTTATACTTTTCCGTCAGTTAATTATGTTGTAGAGGTAGAAATTTACTACTATGTTGAAGAAGTACGATTTCCTTAAACTATCACCTTATTTCAATATTGGCTGCTGCTAAAGGTCTTTTGAAAAATTCATATTCACCATGGACCGACATAAGTTATAGAAACATTGGAAACCCACGAGCACTGGACAACTGGTTCGTCAAAGCATAGAGCCCCTCAGCAGTGCTTACCCATGATCCCTCATCATCAGGAATGGAACTCAAGACCTTCAGGTTCTTTAGCCAGTACTCTGCCACTGAGCCACTGGGTTGGAATCCAATGGTCCGTATTTCCAACTACTATCAGTTTGCAACATAGCGAAACCATCACTCAATTTCATCATTGAGTATTTGGCCTCACAGCCACCAGGTTTGCCCCATCGGTCATAACTTCTCATTGAAAGTTCGGGAATCACCAAACAAATCTAGTCACCGCTGAGCACTAGATCAATTGAATTTGGGGTTGTGAGGACTAAGTGATTTTTCAAGTTGGTATTCATCATGGACTAACATTGATTGGAGGAAAATTGGGAATTTGGTTGTACTGTATTTTCTGAGCTGGGTTGTTTAATCGTGAGGCTTTCATCATCTTTCTGGACGACATCATCAGCACTAACTTCAGTATGAAGCGAGCTGTCAATATCTCTCCATGAGTGATTTAGTAGCTTGCTCTGATGATATGCTCTGTGATTGGTTGTTTCTCGATTGTTGTGTCATTGATTGTATAGACTTTCCTGTTGGCTGTTCTTCTGCTTGACCTCTGACCTCTCTGCCGTTTATCACCTTTCTTATTGGTTGATAGATTGGATCTATGTTCATACATCTGCTGATTGCTGACTGACCTGAAGGCCAAGCTACATGCTGAAGTTAGTGCTGATGATGTCATCCAGAAAGATGATGAAAGCCTCATGATTAAACAACGTAGCTCAGAATACACAGTACAACCAAGACCATCTATCTGAGCTACAAATATTCTCCATTACATTAGAAACTTGGTAACGCTGACAGCTGTTTCATCCTAGTATGATCGCCCCTCGCCAGGGATCGAACACATGACTTTCAGGTTCCATGGTCAGCATGCTACCACTGAGTCGTTGGATAGCAAGTCTTATAAATCTCTCAAAAACATCAGAGTTAAACTAAAGAGAAAGCAGTCTAAATCATAAATGCCAGAGGATATAGTCACCAAAATAAAGTTTTAACGCAGGACAATATAAACGAATTTCAAGTATTAGTTTGAATAAAGCAAGGCAATCAGCTTCAATATCATAATAGGCATCCTTAGTAATGTAAAAACATCATTAAAGCTAGCCAGCAGATCACATAAATAATACGTTTCACTTCCATTGCAAAAAAGGTGGAATTTCAAACCATTCTGGTATTTAACTCACATATTTTGATTTTCTGGTCGCTTTGTTTTCAGTGAATAAAGATCAATTATATAACTTCTGATTATTACCGTAAGCCATTGAATGGGTCGTATATGAAAGCATAGACTTCTCAGTGGTTTGGATACTCATCACTGTTCACTACAGTCAGATATGTCATATACGACTGAAAAAGATAAGGGATTACGGCAACTGTAGATGATTATTTGAATATTTAAATCAAAGCCAATATAAGTGGCATTCTGGGTGTCTATTGCCTACTGAAATTAACTAAAGCACTGATATTTTTCTCATGTTTCCTAACTGCATAATCCAGAATGTGTTGTACAAAGTAGGTGGACCATCTACGTTGAAGGTGCGTTTATAATATGAGGGTGTTCAAGAGAAGAGATTTACAGAAGTTAATAAATAAGTAGTTCATTTGCCCTTTCTACCTTCAATAAATACATGTTTCCAAGTAAAAAAAATTACAGAGGATATCACTAACTTAGAATTTGACTCGTCAGCTAAAAAGGTGTGTGTCAGCCTTATTTTCCTCTTTTGTCATGTTTCATTTTGTATTACATAAACTTTGTTGAATAAACCCATCACTTTTATTCAACCTCTGCGCATAACAGTGAAATGGTTAACAGAGTTATACATGATTTAACCTACTTACAAAACGACGACCTGTACTTAATATCGCTGTAAAGTTTAAGATTTCGTTAATAATATACATTCGGAAAAAAAAACTGCACATATTTATGGAAATAAGAAAACTACATATTTTTCGTTTTAGCACCCGTTGCTTTTGAGTTATTCAATTGAAAATAAGATTGCATTTTCAGTGATTTTTAAATTCTTGAACAAAATGTCGATTTCTGTATAGTCTTTGATTAGAAAAAATGTTTTGATATTGATGTTCAATAGTGGTTATTGAAGGAATATGAAAGACGCATTTCGTCTTATTTGGACTTGCCGGCTGGATATACCTGTCTTCCAGTAAGCGATAATGTTCCCAACAGGACTCGAGCCCGGAGCATTAACCACTGGTCCTCCAAAACCACTGCTAGCCACAGACAGTATAGAGGTATCCATGTAGGAGCCCATTTGCAGATAAAGACCGATCGATTCGGTCCAATCTATGGCGGGATAATACAAATGATATCATATGAACTATACTCATTAGACAAAAAGTGGTGATTCAGTGTCCGATTGGATAACGCTGTCGCTTTTGAATTGATGGTTCCCTAGGTCAGGTCTAAGTCGGAACAATATGGTTTACTCGGAGGCAGTTACATCCAACTGACGAGTTTTAAACAGAACGAATTGCGCGTTAAGCTGGACTTCACTGCCAGTCACTATCCGCTATCGATATCAAAACTTCTTAGATCTCTGAAGAAAACCAGTAATAATACAACCAAACTTAATTTCTCTAGCTTGTAAGACAATCATTTTTAGGTAAACGATTGAATTTCTCTTTGAATTCCTTTTTAAATGCATTCTTGAATCCTGAAGAAATCCTAAAATCATTTACGAATATATAAGCACATGAGTTTGCCATAATAAAACCGTATTTGGATTACAGATTTTTTATTTTTCAACAAAATGTCCAACTGATGAGTTCCGAATTGAAGATTGAAAGACAACTGTATTAGTGACGAGAGATATCATGCATCCCATGTAATAACTGTGATGTCCAACTTACTTAAAACACACTGTTAAAAACGGTATTATATATAAAAATCAAGTAGAAGGATTGCAGAATTAGGACAAGATGAAGTTCGTGGAATTCACTGTTACTTACTATCTTTAATCATAACTACTCTATGTAATTAGCTCGGTATGAAAAAGAATAAAACGTTTTCGGTAGCCTGGCTATCCAGCAAGTAATGGCGCTTCATCATAAGATATCTAAAAAGTGTAAAACTCCTCACCTATACTATTCTTCTTAGTTTTGTAGGCGAAAAAAAATAATTTGATTTTCTCAAACATTGGATGACCATTTTTAATAATTACTTTAAACCAATACTGGGTGATGATTGAAGATGAAACGAAAATTTGGACAGCGATTGGATTTGAACCATCGACCACCGAGTTTCCTGCCCGTTACTCTACCAACTGAGCTACTAGGTTCGTCTGCTGACCAGCTTTTTATTTCACTTCAATCACAAAGGATTTTGTCCGACTACCATATGAATTCGTGATGCGTTACTACCGCTTGACCGTACTCACTCTGGCTACCCAGTCAAGACTTCTCATCCCAATCCAAATCTAACTGAATTGGAGAGGGGGTGCATCATACCGATTATCATTTTTACTATGTGAGATTTGACAGACTAGTATTGTTACTAGGTCGATCGCTCAAATCCGGCTGTGATCTAAACTTTCATTTTACCTTCAATCACCACCCAGTAGCAATACTAGACCGCCAAACCACGACTATCTCAGGTACTTAAAGTGATAAGTATTTTAAATTCACACCGCTAACGTTTAAATTTCCCACAGATACACAATATTTAAACTGCTCAGTTGTGATGTCAACAGGCTTAACTTTAGAAACCATTTGGCTTAATATCGTAAAGTGTGGTCTCTAATACAGTAGTTGCATAAGTTGAGGAGATATGCTATTGAACTATATGGGTAGTTAAGCTCCTCTCATAATGCCTAGCAAATTATTCTTTTGAGGCCACATATGGGTTGTTGTATGATAAATCAGCTTTGAGAATTATCATCATGATCCATGTAATTTATGAGTGATTTACTAAACGATGACACGATTTAATTTACACCGGCTTATATAAGACAGATAGTTTGATTTCATTTATACGACTCGCCTTTAAAACCTAAAAAAATTGCTGGTTACACCACCGACGAGTTTAGACTCGAATAGGAAGAGCAAGCATCTAGTTGTATCATTTGCATTTGGTAAATAATATCCGAAAATGAGTCTTAGTGCGTTTTTGACTGATCATACTGTCAAGCGACGAATAAGAATCACTTCTTTACGGACTAAACTTTGATGCTTGATTCGCGCTACTTTTGCTGATAAACCCGAAAAAACCACCTGTGTGATTTTGTTGCTGTTAATTATAGAAAGCAACGCAAAAGCGTTATATTGATCTAGGTGACTAGCAGAAAAATCCAGGAAGCGCGTTTCGCCTTATTTGGGATTCGTCAGCTAAATGTACCCGGACCCAAGTGAGTGGTGTTGTTCCCCCCCTTGGGCTCGAACCCAGCAGCCTTCGCCTAAAACGACAGAACTTTACTCACTTAGCCATTAAGGCACGATACTCATCCATTGTCCAACAGGTACCAGTTTTTGTTATGATACTTGTAATTTCCTGTTGCTATACAGAGCCTAATCGGTCGATCTCTGAATAATCAACAATATCGAACCATCCACATACGAACCCGTCTTCTAACAGAGGTCTAGCAACGCGACCCTGTACAGCAACGAAAAATCACAAGTGTCAAAACCATAAAGGTTAAAGCATTTGCAGTCAACTGTAGGAACATTCGGTTAGCAAAAGCTTTGCAGTTTCTGTAAGTTACTAGCGACTTTGATGAGTTAGCTGAGAGTTACATATAGAAAGACGTTATCTGAAGTTTGCAATTCATTCAGACTTGGTTACTATACCAGTTACTATAAATTACTTTCTGCATACAACCAATGTAGCCTAACGAACTGTGTAAACACTTCAATGTGTGAAGAATAATTGTAGCTTGGAAGGATGATTTTGATGGTGTTGTATTTCTTGAGCCGAATAGTTGGCTTGTGAAACTTTCATTGTCATTCAAGACGACATCATCAACACAAACTTCTGAAGGTATTGACGCTAAACATTGTCTAAATGTTGAATATGAATGACTGAAATGAATACCAGAAAGGGTGTATGTACTAGTAGTAATACGGAAATAAAACGAATAATGATCATTCGATAAAGAACCTGAGTTTTAAAGAATTCTTATTTGTAACGATATTTTGAAAGTTTTAATACTCCAAAAACCGTTATTCTTCTTTTCTCCTTTCTGATCAGTTTTCCAGAGAAGCAGTTGCAATGTGCTACTGTACATTTGTAGATAATTTTTCAAATTCTGAAAAGACATTGGAGACATGCTGGAATACAAAATCATCGTTTCAAAAGTTTTGTGAGGTAAGATACCAAGAAAAATGTAATCACTCCTTTTTATAAGCTATAGGATGTTTTCCCCCTCAAAATTGGCTTACAGTGTTAATTCATGCTTTCACAGAGTTTTTTTTTTTGTTTAGGAAATGTAAACTTTTGATCAGATGTAGTGGACTGAATTGCACATTTTATTTTGATTTGAATCAAAAACAATTTGGGCATCGTTTTCCGAATACCCGGTCCTACAATTTTTTCACAACAAGGAGTCGAATGTGAATAAAATGTATTTTAAACTAGGGATTTCCTGTCACATCCTGCATCACTTTATTGTAGCTAAAGATTTCAAACCACTTGGTTTGAAAAGTTTTCTGTCCAAATAAGATTTCAGTTGGATTTTTAACAATGACAATAATCCTAGGCGACAATTTACCTTCTTCATGCATATATTTCAGTAGTTCCCTGGTATACTAAGCATTAGTGACCTTCTTAGTAAAATATGTAGGTCAGTTTCAAATGAAGATAGTTTCACTGTCAAATTTTGAAACCAAGCTGAAATTTCTGATACTTTGTGAATCTTCAGCTAGTCTTTGAGTTTGCCATATTGGGTTCAGATTATTTATGCTACATGCTGTTATTCGCTAATTGCTGTTATGCCTTGTTAATGCAATAAAAAAAATGAAATTCATATCTTGATAATGACAAAAGCCACGTTTCATCATAATATCACATATACGAAATGACTGTGACTCGGTTATCTACAAAAATGCCTAACTAATGCAATTAGTTGGGTATTTTATCAGTTTGCACGTTGCTTGCTCTGGCTGCATATTCATCCAATAAACTAGGAAAAAATAATATTATAAGCCGTTGCGGAAATAATCCAGGATTCCCTTCAGCAGGTTCACTGCTTACTATAAGAAGTGATTATCTATAAAGTAAGCAAAAACGAAAATGCCGTCACCAATTAATCACTGAAAAGTTTGATGAATGAGTTAATTTTGTGAATGATTACCCAAATAACCATTTTATATCTCTAAGCTACACTCTGAAAACAGGAAAAAAGATTCAGGATAAAAGTCAACGACAGTTCTATTCCACCAAAAAATGCTAATCTGTAAAATCCTGTTTTAGTGGTCAAGATTTAGGATAATCCAGGTGTGAACTTACCAGGTGTCCAGTCACCTATCTACTAGTCCTAGTGACATGAAAAATATATTTTACCGATTAGTTTATACTACTTATATAAATGAATAGCTTATTCAAAAGAATAGTAGTCTCTAGTCTTATGTATCTTTATTGGTGTTAGTTTTGATTCGTAGCTATAAGTGAAAAACTTGGGCACTGATTCGTAGCTTTGTATCAGTAATCAGTGTAGGCAAATAACACTTGAATACCTTTAATAAGCAGAAAACGATCGGCTTCTTAATCTTAGGATTTATCATCCTTCACATTAGCGCAAATATTTTGTAAAACAGGAACACTAGAAAACATAAAAAAGTATAAACCACATTTAGCATACAACATGTATGTCAAAAAGTGTTAATAGTCAAGAAAGAGAGATCACCGTTTATATTACCTTGAACAAATATTTATAAAGTTTCTCCATTCATTAAGTCTTACAAATTTAGTTTGGTGGTTTGCGAAGATTCCATTGAATCCAGATTCTCAATCATCATTGACTGACAACAGCTGGAGAACCAGAGAATATCTGGCCACACTAGAAAGCCATTCCGTCCCTTTACAGGACTGCAGCACTGTGCACCCATGACTCCATCAAGATTCGAACCTAGGAACTTCAGGTTCTTTGACTAGCACGTTAACACTTAGCAACTGGGTTAGAATTCACTTTCAAAAACTCAAAGACTGGAAGGTACAATTAATAATGTCAAAGTATTTGATCAGTATCGTGAAAAGGTAAAGAATGTTAAACTTTCCAAAGGAAAAGATATTCCCAGTACGGCTATCTTTAAATGACTGAGTTTTTTTAAAGAAACAATAACCCAATCCCTTAAAACCAAGAAAACACTACACAGTTCTCATTCAGCAGTTTTACTTAGAGTCATTTCATCACCTCAGGTAAAAATCTTAAAATTGGAAGTGTTAAATTCACCTGATTTAAAAAGAAAGTCAAAAAATCTTAACATGAAGACTAAAGTCAAATACCATTCAAGCAAAATTATCCTTGGTGTACAAATTAGTATACTTCAACTTGATCTACAGGTGAATAATAATATAGAATATAACAGCTTCACCCAGATAATGCTGACTGCCTGGAGGATGTCAAAGATTTAAGTAATGACTGAAGTTCAGAGAAGGTTAAAATAAAACACAAATTTGTGGAAACCAGATAAAGCAGCTACACCTGTTCTTCAAGGCAGCAGACTTTGCTATTACATATATTGACAGATGTGTACTAACCAGTCCTTTCATGAGGTAGCCGGGCTTAAACCTTAGTCTTATAGGCAAAAGAATAATAATGGAACCTGGCAGAAACAATCAACCACATACAAGGTCATTAGTACAAGCTAGTCAGCCACTTATAGAGAAAACTATGTAGCTCACTTCTTCATAAAGTTTGTACTGATGACTCTATCTTTAGTGACAATGAAAACTTCTGGATTGAACCGTCCGGCTCAGAGGGTACCACAACAACAAAATCATCCTCCTGAGCTACAAATATTCACCATCATCGTTTAATATACACCAGTGGATTTACATTATCTGGATGAATAGTAAAATGTTCTCCTTAGAACCTAGCAGTTGGGAAACAATCGCTTTTTTAAGTCACGACTGTTGGGTAGTCCAAAGTGAGAACGAATCATTTGTTCAGTGCCTCCAGGTTTTAATGATCAAAAAATAAATGATGTCCATCTATGTTGAGAAGTGTTTTGAAATATATTTTGAGCTTAATATAGGATAAAGGTGACATTTTCAGCATTACACTTCCATTTTCAATTTTGTTAAATTGTATTTCCTATGTAAGTTGTGATGTTCAGTGTTTCTAGTAAACACTCACGACAGTGTAATACCATGTACTACTCTCTATCATAAATCTTCTACCGAACAATCACAGGTCACACGCTTAAACATAAAACAATTCTAATGCTTATAATTTATAACTGAATTCGGATGCTATGTGAAATAAAAGATGAATTTATGAAGTTATTTGCTTTATACTTCACTTTATTACTCATAATTACTGGCAGTATTAACTCTGAACCGGTATTTTCGACTGACGAGTTGGAATGTGACATTTACTTCAGTAATGCATTCCACAAATGGAAAGAATAATTCATGTATTAAGTGTTTATATGCACTGAACACCCATATATTCATGGACAACAAAACTGTACACATGCGAGTGATTGGGAGATAAAGATAATATATGTCAGATGTCAAGAAAAGAAATGTATGTGATGAACAATCTATGAACTGATATAAAAATATTCATACTGATGTTAAGACAGGCTTATAGTGACAAACAAGTCAACATTTCTAAGTGGAAGGTTCTGTTAATGTTTTGTATGTATGTACAATTGTTCAGTCTATCTCGTATTTTAGACTACAAGTAGCATTTCATATTCTACAGTGACGATTAGGAATTTTATAAGTTGACAGTGACTTTAAATGCTATTAATATACTCTTTTTTCTCTTTACTAGCTGAAATTACGGATGAATCGTAACAAACTTCCTCTTAAAGCACTTCTTGTACAACCTGTTCAACGGATACCACGATATGAACTACTTGTCAAAGTAAGTGTCTTTGTAGTCACATAAAGCCAGTAAAGTATGTGGAGTAAATATGAGTAACAGTGAGAAACTATAGATATCCATAAACTTTCAACATTTACCAATAATTTACATAAATCACTTCTCAACTTCATAATATTGAATATTTTATTAACTGACTTGCATTTAAAGTCAATGATTATCAACTGCTTGACAAATAATATTCACTTGAGGTGGCTTATTAACTTCATATTAGATTTGTTTATTTGATGTACAACATACAGTGATATAGTTAATTTACTCGATGTTCAGAAAGTAGATTATTGCTCATTATCATATGAATGTAATCACACACCTTCCAGAATCTGATTTCATTAGTCTTATAGCATCATATTCCTTGCTCTTAGTGCAAGTAAAATGTTCCACATCTCTAGTCATTCCTATTAAATGTGTTTGGTTTTGATTAGACTAACAGGGATTCATTATTCAATCTCTCTCTTCATCTGGTTATATTTGACTTAATTACATTGGTTTTATCTCACCGTATTGTGTGGTTGTATGTTAATGCATGGAGTGCAGTGGGCAAGATTCTTCTAGATTACTGATCCTTTTGAAATCTGTAATTCTATATACAACTAAATTTATATGTTCCGCTAATCTAACTGACCATGACCGACTAGTTTCACCTATGCACTTGACCTCACAGTCATTGCATGCCATTTGGTAGGTTCGATTACTTTACTTAACTGGATCTGTCGGATCCTTTAACCATACAACGAATCTTATATGTGAGTGAGTATTATTATTATTATTTTCCCCTTCGGTTCCTAGTGGAACATAGGGCTTCAGTTGCATGCCTCCATTGCACTCTCTTCTCTGCAGTCTTTTCAACCCGGCTCAACCATTTCCCACAACCGTTCATTTCTTCATCATATTATCTCCTCCATGCCATCCTCGCCTTGATGCCCAACTCGTCGTTTCCCCTGTGGATTCCGCTCGAGGGCCTGGCCTTGCGCGTGATGTCCTCAGTTGGCCTTCTCAGTGTGTGCCCAATCCAATCCGACCCATCCCCACTTCCTTCTGCATATTTGTTCAGCTATAGGTTCTGGGTTAGTTCGTTCCACGAGTTCCTTGCTGCTTATTCTTTCCGGCCACCTGATCTTCCCTATTGACCCAGCGTATGTACCAGCTGTTGATGAATGTCTGTAGTTTTTTGGAAGTGTTTTTCATGACGCACCAAGTTTCTGAACTATCTAGAAGCATTGGCTTGACACTGGTGTTAAAAATTCGGATCTTTTTCTTTGTACTGAGTGCAGTGCAGAGGATCTTCACACTGATTTCACATTAATGAAGACCTGTCTTGCTTTTACAATCCTGGCTTTGACATCCTCGTTTGTGCCACCGCCGCCTGTAGTTTAAACGATGCTGCCTAGGTAGGTAGGTGAAAGAGACTACTTCCCTCAGGGTTCTCTCGTTAATAGTGGTTGGTGCCTCTTGTTGTTGATGCTGTTGTTGGCTGGGCATCTTTATCACCTCCGTCTTCTCTACGTTCACCTGAATTCCTGTCCTCGATGCACTGTCTCTTCTGTCAACTTATTAGTTGTCGCCTGTAGATCTTCCAGTTTGTGCCTTAAGACATTTGACATAAATCATCACCGGTGAAATACAAATCTTCTAGTCTCTTTTCATCGGTCAAACAGTGTATACCCATCTTCCTGCTCCTCACGATTTGCTGCATAATCCAGTTCACCTCAATCACGAAGATTATGAGTGACAATAGGTAGCCTTGTCTTACTCCTTTCTGTCTTCACTTCAATGGCTTCACTGAGCTGAGCTTTCCATTATGAATCATTTGGCATGTAGCGTCGTCATATAGCTGACAAATGAGGTTGATAAATATTTGTGGCACTCCGTAGTGTTGAAGCAACTGCCTAATTACTTCTCGTTCGTCGCTGTCGAGGGATTTTTCAAAATCGATGGAGTTGAGGAGAGGCTCAAGTTGACCGCCATTCTGTACTCTATTCTATGGTAATGCGTTGCGCGGCGTTGCAATTTGATCCGCACATGATTTGTTCTTCCCGAATCCAGCCACCAGACTGTTCCGGTGATAATTTTGAATCGAGAGCATCTTTTAGTCTCTCTAGGATGATGCAGCCTAATATTTTGCTTGGGGTGGACAGAACCATGATTTCGCATTAGTTCTCATAAAGACAAAAGGTCACCCTAATTTGAGGGTTTGACAAAGTACCCCTTGTACCAATCTGCAGATACCTTCCCTTTCTTCCATGTAAACCTCCAGCAATAGTGGTGTGAGCATATCTGCCGTTGTTCCTGCGTCTGTTCTCAGTGCTTCTGGCGGAATTCCATCTGGTCCTGCTGCTTTCCTGATTTCAGCAGTTTTATTGCATTCGGGACTGCTGGTTTTGTCGGAGGGCTTGTGTTCACTTGTAGTTTACCGGTTGCTGGTGGTATTTCTGGACGAGTTACAGGTGATAGTAGATTCAAGAGTTTTTTGAAGTGGTCAAAACATCGTTTCCCTTGTTTCTTCTCATTGGTAACTAGGTTTCTTTCACTATCTCTCATTGCTTTCATCTGCTTTGACGTCTTTCCGGATAGTAACCTGGTTATTTGATATAATGTTGTGAGGTCTCTCCTGCCAGCACCCTGTTCTGCCTCACTTGCAAGTGTATTGTAGAAGCGCATTTTGTCCTTCTGCGCACTCTTCTTCACTTCTTTTTCCAGTGTAGTGTTTTATAGGTTGTGTTCAGTTCTTCTTTTCGTTCTTCATACCTGCACTGCACTGCTCCATCTCATTCACCATAACCATCCTCCTCTCCCTCCTCCATCATCTTCCATGTGGATAGCCGTCGACATCCATTCCTTGTCTCGTTTCCTCTTCCTCAATCCTAACACGGTTATGCAAGTTTCTCTTCCACATTGCTTCCACAGAGTTTCAGAGTTCTTCTACACAGTTTTCCTCGTAAATGTTGCTTAATGTCTCCCATTTTCTTCTGATCGCTGACGCGAAGATGCCCCTTACAGTTTTGTCCTTCAGTTTCTCTTCTGGGTGTTCAACTTCATTTGTGGTATATCCCCAACTTCCTTCATGGCTTTCAACTTGATTTTCCAGTCAGGCCCCTTGCACTAGATAGTGAGTGGTGTCAACCTACATATGCTCCCCTCCTTCATCTCATCTTCCATCCAGTAGACCGCATCTTCACTTTCATCACATCGAGATGAAGTCGATCTGATTTTAAGTGTGTCTTGGTGTCTAATGAGGTCCATGTCGCTTTGTGAATATCCTTGTGTTTGTACACATTGCCTCCAATCACTAAATCACTGAATGTGCAGAAGTCTCCAAACAGTTCCACGTTCTCATTCATTTCACCCATGATCAGTTCTCTTCCTGTGTTGTCCACTCCCCACTGTTTCGGCATCCATGTCACCCCACACATCAAAATTGTGATGTCGTCGACTGTAGTTTTATCCAGTACTGATTGTAGTTGTGTGTTCAATTACTCCTTCTTCTCTTGATCTGCATTATTTTTAGGTGTGTAGTGTAGCACTGTATGATTGTAACTTTCTTTGCTTTTGAGTTGAATCTTGCTGTCGTGATCGTGATCCTGCAGGCGTAGATTGGTTCCCACTGCATGAAAGCCTTAGATGCTGTTGGGGACATCATGTTAGCCACTCCATAACTCAATGTGCTCTTGTTTCTGTTCTGGGCGACTGGAGTAGATTATTTATTCTCCAGTTGACACTTTGGAGAGTCCACTTCCATTCCATCTGCTTTCACAGATTCCAAGCACTTCATTGCCATATCTCCTCATCTCTTTCGCAACCTGGGCAGCCTTGGTAAGTTCATACATGTTGTGTACATTCCATGTCCTCATCCTTACTTTCGCTTTCATCGAGAGAAGACAGATAAGCCAATTGGCTCCTCGAAGGCTTTCACCAATCGGCGTCACTTCATCTCTCCGCTCCAGCTAGGAATAAGCTTACTTTTATGCTTTATATTTTCTTTGTGATTTGATGTTTCTTTAGTGATTGGATTGGTTTTACGAGGTAGGGTTGCTACCTGTGTGTCCAACCTTTCCTGTTTACCTAGGCTTAGGACCGGCTAGCAACTAGTGAACTAGTTATTCAGGCTGGGTTATATCTAAATGGGTACGTAGGTTTGAATGCCACCCTGATTCCACCTTTGTTGAGAACCATAAGAAAAGTTTCTGATGTACCTTTCGGATAGGGCGACACAACAGAGGCTGTGAACTCCTTTTTACTCACGTTCTGCTTATTATTCATGCTTTCATTACTGTTATTATTTCGTTTCCTACGAGTTTGCACGAATTTCTTAATAAATTATGAGGGACAATTATCGGTTATTGTCGTTTATTTCAATTCTGTTTAGGTCCTTGTACAGACCAGTGAGGTTTTTTACTCTGTCATTTGGACATTCGACTTAACCTCTCTTAACTAACATTGAATAAGATGACTTCAAGTCTGGATACCTGTTAGGATGTACCAGTTTCTTGTAGATGGTAGTATCCAAATCATCATCTGTCCTTCATTTTATTCTGCTATCGAACATAGGTAATTCTCCTTGTTCATTTCCTACGTCTTAAGTGAATAGGATTGCGCCTGCTACTAAGTTTACATATGTGATGAAACTGTCGACATGTTCCCATTTCACTAGAGTAATTATGTCATCCACATATCGCCACCATATCTTTGGTGAAACATTGAAAGTTCATAAATCGATGTCTTCCCAACTTTCCATAAATATATCTTCTAGGATTGGGGATACTGCTACTACCATTACTACTACAAAGAATAAATACCGGGCGAAATGAGCATAGAATTCAAATACCGAAAGTTGTATGATTATACTGAAATGATAATGAGGAATAATTTATGCTAGAAACGTCTTAAAGTAAATACTACTGTATTACTGTGTGCTATATCAAATAAATGAATCTTTTGTCGAATTATATTTAACCACGGTGCTTATTAACTGCAGTTGGTCCGTAGATCAAATTAAGTAAGTGATTTCGGGTATACATGCTCCTTCGAAATTATTAGTTTACAGGATAAATCTTACAATAAAGATAGGTCAGTAATATTTGGCAGCATTGAATGTAATGCGAAATTATCTTCAAGCTGCCACTTTCAGAGCACTGCTGCCTGACAAAAAATATAATGGTTACACATCTCATCGGAACTTATGATAGCTAAGTCTGCTGTCCTGAGTAATGGGTGAAACTTTTGTGACTGGTTCCCACAAGTTTGTGTTTTATTCTATGTTAACCTTCTCTGAACTTCAATCATTGCTTACATCTTTGACATCACGTGGTCAACAGTATCTGGACACAATTGTTACATTCTACATTGTTATTCACCTGTACACTGGGAATAATTTTGTTTGAATACTTTTAGACTTTTGACTTCATATTGGGATATGTTAGATTTCTTCTTAAGAAAGGTGAATTTAACATCTGCAATTTTAGGACTTATCTTGAGGTGATTAAATTGGGCAAAATGAAACTCCCTAGAACACGTTGGTTAGGATTTTCATAGCGTTTTTAGTGTAAATAACTGTATTTCTGTTTTCTCTAATTCCTTTGTTGTATTTTGCACCCAACTTTGTTTCTCAACATCATTCATATTTTTCCAAATAGAATTATTTGTCTTCAAGTAACTCATTTGCTAAAGAAATTTGTTTTGAAAGGAATAATGGAAGTCTTGAGCTAAGTTTTATTGCATTAAATTTCATTTTTATTAAATCAAATGGTAATGTTTTTCCTCTTGTCTACCGTGAATAATAATCAAAGTGTTGTGGGAAATCTAAACGAAGCTTATCTTCTCATTCAAAACATAGAGAGAAATAATTGCTCCTTGAATAGTAAGGCGTTTTTATTATTCAAAGTTATTCGTTTTGAGAATCAACTGTCGGTGGAAATTCCTTTATATTATATTTGGTCATTGATTTTATGCCGCTGAAGTGAAATAAATAAATACATATTTTCGGACGTGTGATGCAAGCGAATCATTACGTGGATTAAATGAACACGAAATTTTTTTTTTTTTCAATAAACTATATTTCAAGATCATTCTATGTCGAATTCATGTATTTCCTAACATACTGGATGAAATTACTAGACTATCCTGTCACTTAAATATGTGCACTCAATGTTTTATAACCCCATCTTCTTTCCTTGTACCATTTTTTTCAAGAATTATTCATTTTTCATTGAATAACCTAATTATTAAAAAAGAAATGAAATTCACTACTTTTCTACTGTAAAACATATAAAATTAATGTAAACACTTGCCATCTTGACAGTAGTTTATAACTGTATATTTGTCTCGATAACTTGTAGTTAAGTGCAGAATTAAAATATTCACGCAATTGGGTAGGATCCTAAAAAAACTAGTGACGACTATGATTGCCAGTATCAAGGTGTTTGCCTGATATAGTTATTCACTGTTACTTGACATTCACTAATTGACGATGGATAATCCACTCTTAGCATACAAATTATTTGATAAATTTGAGTCATTCCGAAAACTATTTTGAGATGATATCATTTCTCAACTTTTGTATAATCGCATGTATCCATCAACATGGTCTGTAATGTGACATGTCTTGCTATTATTTTACAGTTATTTAAAACAAAATGGTATATTATTAACTGACCGTTAATATAGTCAAATAATTAAGAATCGAAGATTTGAATCCATTATTTCTGAAGATATATGGTTCCAATGAATGTGTATACTGCGAAGTACCGTCAAAATCAGGAAGAAATGTTTGCTGAAGCATGTTGAAATAATAGGAAATCAGTCATTAACTTTGCTTCTGTGAGAATGATGGTGGATTCCTGTTCATATTCGAAATGTTTATGCTGTTTGTGTGATTTAATAACATTTGGAAATATAGTGTTTCAAGTTGTACTACATCATTCTGCTAATTTTACCTTTATCTGTACTCCCGAATATGCAGACGAAGTTGTGGATCCAATGATGATTAGAACTAAAGTTGTTTTACTCTTAACCTTTTGGTACTATAGTATAAAATATCCACAGGGTTAGACAAAGAGAGGTAGTTTCTAGAATGTATCTGTTAACCAACTAAGGGTTAATCTGCTTACCCTTTAATGAATAGTTCGAATAATTAGTTTGCGATTGTTATCTTTGAATAGAGTGTCAACAGTGGCATTTATTCAAACTGAAATTCGTTGACAAACTTTCTGTTCGTTTTCTGAATTCAGATGTAAGTATGCCAGCTAACACAGGTCTAAGAAGGCTCATCTCACCAGAACCATCAGTTTATTACAATCAAATTCATTCTGGAAGTAAGATGCATTGAATATTATGAAAAATTCTTGGAGAAGAACTACCAGTTACAGTAGTTCCAAAATAACAAATAAGATCTGCCACTCTTTAACGAAACGTTAATAAACACAGATTTCATATAGATGGAGTGTTTGCGTTGTCAATAACATTTACATATTCAAAAAACTAAATGATATGACAAATATTTTTCTGCATAAGTGAGCATTTCTGTAACTACATCAACAGTTTGATGATTTGAAAGGTAAGATATATAAAGGGAATGTTTTTTGGGGGTTCCAAGACCTGCGAATTCTAGCAGAGTAAACAACTGTCGCAAGTGCACCATAATGAGCTTAAGCTGTTGCCAAAGTGTTTGTTTATTTATCGAAAGCTTCATTATCCAGCCTGGAAGCTGGCAGTCAGTCTATTTCTCAGTAAGTAAAGCACTGACTGCATGGTTACTTTTAGTTCACCTTGTTCTGAAATGAAGTGAGACGTATGGTTCTAATGATTCATACAAGTAAACGATATCTCTTTTTCCATTTCAATCGCTAAAATATTTGGTGGTGTTATTTCATTAGTCTATGTTTCTGATGTACTGATGAGACATCACAGACTGTTTTACGTTAACATAACATCAAATACCTTTCATTGGATAGCGTTAACTGTTGGATTGCTGGTGTGACTTTTCATTTTATGCCTGAATCTACTGTATGTGCATTCTTAGCCGCACAGCATTTCTAACGGATCACGAAATTACGTATTGGCTAGGCGAAACCCTTGTTTATTGAATTGGAGATAAAAACTGGTCAGAAGCAAGTTATCATGGCTGACAGAGCATGGAGACGGTATTTCTCAAGGTGCTGATTCGAATTATGTTGCGGTTAAAGTTTTCACTTTACTTTAATAATCACCTCGTATCAGTAATTCCTGTTGGCTAAACTACGGTTTTTTCCAAATAGTTCACCCATACATTTAGGTGCAGATTCATGCGTGCCTGAACCTGCATGTGATCATGGTTCAAATGCGTTCTAGAGAAGGAAGATAAATTTTCCAAAAACTCAGTTTAATAGCAATTGATGGTATTATGATCCAGCTATGTCCACCAGTGGATTTGAATCAGTGGACTACAGGTCACAATGGACCTCTCTCTATTTTTCACCTTCATGCCGAACAGTAAATGTTATTTCTCTGAGCACTTTTTTCCTAGGCAAATAGCTCTGTGACTAAGCGGTTTAGGGAGATGACTATCAGCGTTCCACTACTGAGTTTTTAGTAGCCGGGGATTATCAATAGTCCTCACACAATAGGTGTGACCGACTGCCTACTGCAGAGATGTGCACAAGGTGGCTTAATGCATTTCGTTTGCCTCCGTTTCATGCAGCAAGCGATTGTCGTTATCATTTCTTTTGGCTGAATTTTCAAAAGTGCCATCTGAGTGCAATCCTACCGGATACGGGCCAGTCCTTTTTGTATTGAAATCACCTGCTTTGAAAACCACACCAAAGAGATTGGCTTTCAGTGTAAGGTTAGATTTTATTAGAACTCATGCCTCACTCCACTGTAAGTTGATAGCTGACTGCTTATAGCAGTCATTTAACTTCCTTCGTTCGGACATAAATCGTTAGAATGAACTATAGATTTAGATTTATAAAGTGAACTGTAAAGAAAATAGCCTGTGGAATTTTGTCAGGGAGCTCAAATTTGTTTGTTGCTTATGGAAGCCTTTTGATCATTTAAACTATATACCATCCACTTTCCAAGCATTTAGATATCCTTAACTAGACAAAAGCTAGAAGAATACTTATTGCACTTCATGTAACAACAATATACATCCATAAGATCTTTGACTACATAAACTTTTCAGGGCAAGAACTTGAGTTAAAAGATTGCATAGTTTCTGCTTTTGTCTCCTTCTACTCTGTCCAACTATTTTCACTAAAATGATCAATAATAATATCTCTAGCCCATTTGTCATTCAGCGACATTTACTCTGGTTGAAACTTTTTCTTAGAAAAGCTCACAGAAAGATACTTATCTTTAAGGAACATTAACATATGTAATTCTTTGTGATGTGATTATTTTCAGCCTGTAATCCTTGTTACATGGTTATTTATAACCTTATGTTTGCAATGATTGATGAAGAGAAAGATAAATAAGTAGGCTAAAAAGCCTCAAATTTACTATTCCTTCTTCATCATAACATTAGCATGGATATTATTCATTTACTGTGTTTGCATTTGTTTCAGAAAATTACACAAAACAGTTTTCTACCATTTCCATTTCATCTTTATTATTCACTTTTATAGCGTTTATTAGAATCAACTCCAAAAGACTATTCTGATCATGCATTATTAATAGAAGCGGAAAGTGCTATTCATCGATTAGCTCTTAGAGTGAATGCAGTGCATGCTGCTGGTGAAGATGAGAATATCGTGGATGGTATTAAATTGATTGAAAAACTGTTAGCGCCAGCAGTAAGTAAATAAATTTTTTGATGTCAGGATTCTGTGTTGATATATGAGCTTTCACATGGATGCTTCGGCATTGCCTGGATATTTATTACGGTATTTTACTTGGTTGTGGCAAGTAAAAGAATCCAGAATGCGTCTTTCGTCTTATTTGGGACTAGTCAGCTTGATGTGCCTGCACCCTAGTGAGTGATTTTGTTCTCATTGAAACTTAAGCCCTGTACCCATCTCTTCGTGCTTCAGTGGCCTAGTGGATAACGCTGTGGCGTTTGAAGAGATGGGTACCAGGCCCGAGTTACAGTGAGGACAACATCACTCAGTGAGGTGCAGGTACATTCAGCTGACGAGTCTTAAGATTGGGCCAAATGCGCTTCTTCTGCTAGTCACAACCAGGTGAATTACCGTGATAGAATGGAAATTGTTCAGACTGATGCGAAATGTTTTGTCTACAAGTTTTACTTTGTCTCTAAGGCCGAAAATGTTTACTGTCACATTATTTATTATCTTTTAGAGCCTGCACCAGTTCTGGTCGAAATGATTCGACAGTTAAGTTTTAGAATTCAAAAGTAGATAGAGTAAGTTGAAACAGTTAAGAGAGCATGAAATTGTTATGATTGGTAATGTGACCTACCAGTCTACGAGTGATACAAACCTAGCCCACGAATTTACCCTAATCGCTAACCAGAACGTCAGCCACCACAACAACAATATCAACAACATCCAAAGACAAGAAGAGATGATCTGTTGACAGAGAGCTTTAACTATCTCAATAACAGCCAAAACTGTTATGAGCGATGATGAGTGACCTTGACAAACGCTAAATTCAATGATAAGCTGAGAGTTAATAATCAATGAGAGTTCAGCCTTCAGAAGCAGTATGAGCAACAAAAGCTTGCAAACGGTGCCAAGGGGTCGCAAAAACAGCAATGATAAACATATTTTAAGGTTACAGACAAATATCAGGCAAAAGTTAAGCAAACCAGGGGTATATAACAGAAATACCTCAAGTTTGCAGAAAGTAAGACACCATGATTTACCGCTTTTGACAGACCGACGATGAACATCAAAAATGTTGGAACGTTCCAAAAAAATTGTCCTGGTTACAACTCTGACTATCTGAGAAAGCCATGGTTTTGAAAACTAGTATTGATACGGAGTGATAATTGAAGGTGAAATGAAAAAGTGGATCTCGGCATGATTCAAACCAATGACTGCATAATATAGGTCGATGAAAGCCTTTTTCTGAGGATTTTTGTATGTTGCTAAGGTCTGACTCAAGTAAGCATTTTCACAACCTTACAGTTAATCATTTTGGCACATTTCTGTCTTAAGAAACATTGGGGGAAACATTGTACATTCAACAGGAACAAATATATATCACATTTAGTTCATGCAGTTCAAGATTCCTACATCCAGGTTCCACTTTTCACAAATCCGTAAACATGAAAATACGAACAAAAAGTTTTTATTAGATTTTTATGACAAGCGTAGTCTCCACGCATTCATATCATAATGCATTTCTGACGTGATAAGCCCACCATATAGCATATATGGACAAATCTTTAGCAAAAGTTCACCTGCGTTGTTGTTACTTCACATTTGACGGACATACTACTACAGTACTGAATTCCACTTAGAAAGATACCGAAAAGAGACACGTATGGAATAATAGCATACGTCTGGAAAGACAATTATTCTCGATAAGGTTATCACTTCGTATTTAGTAGATCTGAGAATATTTGGAGATGTACAGAATGTTTGAAAACGTAATTGTTGTCGATTTTTTCTTCACATTATGTTGTGATGCGTACGGGAAACATTTTAGAACGTTTCTAATCTATCAACATATGAAACAAATAAACAGATGAAATTAAATATGTAAATTAGAATGAAATTCTGAAGTTAATTGCGTTATCTAGATTAGGTTGCCGAATAAATCACATTTATATAAGACATTTGATGGTGGTCCTGGCTTGTTTTAATGAAATATTCCTCAGCCTAACTTGCGCTGTCTGGGGAATATACATGCTACATTGAGCACTCAAGCTTCCATCATGAATAACCTCTTTACCAATGATTTCAGCTGCTACTAAACAAACTCTAGCCGAATCGTATTCGACAGATTGTAGCTGTTTTTAGATTGTGATGTTTCTTCATGTTAGTGATCAACAGCAATAAAGTGATCGGTTTCCGATGGCATAGAGGTGCCATCCATAGATGTTTCGGTTACACTTAGCATCAGGTAGAACTGCATGAAACTAAAATGTCTGGAACAACTGGTGACATATGAGTTTATGAGAGAAGGTTAACACTCGCTGGCATACAGGCCCACCAGACTAGTGAGTTCCAAGACTGTTGAATTACTTCTACTTGATCTCACTAGTAATAATTATGCATGCAATCAAAGTCGTCCAGCATCACCATATCTGTAAGAAATCCTGCTGTCAACACTGGCTAGGTAATTCAATATAACCTTTCATAAAAATCTGAAACTTCTATTGAACAGTACTCAAGAATTATGAGTCAGTAACCTGTGTTAGAATATCAAGACGGTTTTCATTACATCAAACACAGTGAGGAAGCTTCAATCAAGACAGCCACAGGATATAACTTATTGAGAAAAGCTCATATGATTATACTGAATGTTGAAGTGAGACCAATCGAAATTCAACATGCATTTGACGTATATGGTCAATAATGAATAATTCTGTTCGCAAGAACATTACAGAAGTATCATTTCACTGAAAATATTTATTTCGCTTTTCAAACTGATTGAATAAATCTTATTTTTTAGCCTTGTGAACACAAAGTGCTTAATTTTTAATTTACAATATTCTTCAAAATTTTAGACCCTTACGCCAACGCGTCAATATGTTCGTCATGACATAGTCTCTGTAGAGGTATGTTCAAACTTTCATTTTTTTAATAGGAGAAAGGTAACACTAATATAAGAGTAAAACTTGGGCACTGTGGTCGATTAAAATTCCATTTTAGTCTGTTTATTAGAATTATCACATAGTGAAACAGTAGCATTTACTGGATAACGTTTCGGACACAATTCATTGTCCATATTCATATCAGGTAACTCCACAACTTCGAGACGGACTTTATATATTCCTAATTTTCTCTCCTCTGTGATGACAAGGGTAGTCCCAGATACACAGAAAACTCTACTACCCTTATCATCACAGAGGAGAGAAAATTAGGAATATATAAAGTCTGTCTCGAAGTTGTGGACAATGAACTGTGTCCGAAAAGTTATCCAGTAAATGCTACTGTTTTACTGTAATATTTCAAATAAACAGACTAAAATATAATGGTAACACCTTTTAAGTGAACTAATCATTTAGAATACTCACTAGAGTTTTGTTTCGTGCTGGAATATGAAAAGCGTAGCGCATTTATTCCATTTTATAGTCACCTCATCTACAAATAATGGGAATTTTTATCGTTAACTTAGGAGCTTGACTGTTCTCAATACATCACTTTGCAGTATCCACTTACTGTAGCTTTGATGACATTGAAAAATAAATGTTCACTAAATCAAATATATTAATTTTATGCGACATCATAACTGTTTTCGTTGCAATTAAACCCCACAACTGCTGGGATAATTTGAAGTTTAGTAAGGCTTATGATGAAAAATCTGAAACTTATTTTATTGAATCGATTCCAGGTCGGTAAACCTCATGGACTGATACCAGTTAGAGAAACAGTGGAAACCTGGTAGCACTGGACAGTTGTTTCGTCCTAGCATGGGACTCTGAAGCAATGTGCGCCCACGACCCCAAACCACCTGAGATTGAACTCAGGACCTTCAGGTTCCGTGGCCAGCTAGTTACCGGTGAGCCACCAGATCCATACTTCCTACTTATAACAATTCACGATATAGCGCAACCTACATCAAGTGTTATCGTTGAGTAACTGTCCTCACGTTCGACTTTATTGACTCCAATGGTCACGACTTCTCATTGGAACTTTTGGAATTACCCCTCGAAACGAGTCACCAATGAGGACTGGACTAATTCACTTTTGGAGATTTTGGGTTGGTATTCGTTAAAAGCATGATATTTGGACTATCGGATTCTTACTCAGTGGCTCAGCGGTGGTGTACTGACCACAGAGCGTGAGGATTCTGAGTGCACACTGCTGATATATCCCAAACTAGGACGAAACAGTTGTCCAGTTCTCAGAGTTTTACAGTGTTTCTCCAACTAGTGTCAGTCCATGATGAACACTAACAGGAGAGGGAATACAGGTCAGATCACCAACAATAGTAGCATGAAGAGTTGAATTCAATAGTATCAAAGTAGGTTTATTGAAAGTACAAATTGTTTTTGAATAAAGTTTGGAGGTTTGAATTTGTAGATACAAGCGCTTCGATAAATCTAACCGTTTCTCATGACCTATCTATAGCGCTGATACATTACATGTTTAAGATAATTTCAATTTCTCATTGAGTTGTTTAAATTTACTATGAAGACTGTTTCACACTAGGCAATAATAAAATAAGTTGAACTCAGTAGTCAGAACGATTATCAAAATTATACACAGACAAAAATAGGATTTAGTCAAAAGATTACATCATCAAATAGGAGGTAAAGGAAAATATTGGTAAGCATACGAAATAGAAATTTATTATTGTCCTTTTTGAACACACGATTCCCGTTTAAATCATTTGATCGCAACAGCCTCCATGAACTTGAGAAGGTTCAAATTAGATGATTTGTTGATTACCTTGAAGTATTCCAAGGTATGTGCTTCATATTTTATATTAATAAGATACCAAATTACTGCATTACTGAAAGCACTTGTTCCCCGAGGCATAAGTTTTTGCTCTGCGTATTCAGGGTGTCCAAGGTACGCTCTTCTCCCCGTTTTGTCGATATAAGTAGACCTGTACACACAGTTAGTGGAAACTTGGGAAGAAAACCTGTTTACTTTTCATTGTATCAAGTAAAAATGTTGTTTAATAGAGAGAGATCAATATGCCCGTATGATAATGTTCAGTTCAGTACGGCTTTGAGCCTTTTCTTATCACTTTCGGAGACATTATCATCAGTGAATAAAAACAGGTTCCTGCCTATGACAATTTTTCCTAGTTTATTGTCTTTGGAACTTACGTACTTATTGATAAACTTCTGTGGATAACTGTTGTGTCACAAAGTCTTTTTAGTGTTTAGTTAACCTCCCTCAGATTTTTCACTTAGACACAAATGTATTGCCAACATATCTGGAATAAGACAATCTTTCTTCATTTGCATGTTTAAGCTTTTTCTTCTGAAGATTAGTCACATATATTAGCATATTTTATTAAATTTATCTGGATGTCTGTATTCTTTATAAAAAGGATGCTGCTCTTTTTTAGCTTATTTAACTGCAAGAGCTATTTTCAAATTCTTTTGTGACACGCTACTAAAAAGTTTTACGCCCCATGCAGGTGACGTGACAGCGGTGAAACCAAGTGGTACCATGTTTTTCCTCTCTAGTAGTTGTTCTTTAGCTGATCAAGCGCATAACAGGGGGTATACTTATTAAATTTCTATACTTTGACACCAAATAATAATAAAATCAGTTCATGATGTTATTTTAATGGTTTAGCCACATCATACAAACTAGGATAGCAACATATAAGACAATGAAGCTTACTTACAATTCTATGGGTGAGTTTTTTAAACTACAGTGAAATCCATCAGAATAAGTCACGTCGTCGAAAATGTGGTATACGTGGCAGCGACAAAAAATCAAAAAGTTGAGGGTTTCTGATAATTTCTGTCGATTACGTGTAAACCAAGATCACTTTATCTCAGCTTTAAAATTTTTATCACTATTATTTGTCCAATGGGTTCCTGGTGGGACATAGAACTTCAGTTGCACGTCTCCATTCCACTCTATTCTCCAAAGTCTTTTGGACGTGGCTCCATCACTGCCCACAACCCTTCATTTCTTCGTCACATGAACTCCTCCATGTAACACTTGAACACTTAACTAGTCGTTACCCACTTGGCTTCCACTCGAGGGCCTGGCCTGGCACGTGATGTACCTAAATGGTCTTCTCAGTATATGTCTGATCCAATCTCCTTACGGTTTCTTCTACGATCCAGTCGAGTTGACCACAATCAGCAAAATCATCAGTGATAGTAGGCGGCAACATCGTCTTACTCCTGTCTTCACTGAGCTGAGCTTTCCATTGCGAATCACTTGGCATGTTGCATGTAGCATATAGCTGCTGTTAAACGAGGTTGACAAAGCTTAGTGACATTAAAACTTCAGTGTCGAAGCAGCTACCTGCCAAATCACTTCTCGGTCGACGCTGTCGAATGTCTTTTCAAAATCGATGAGTTTGAGGTAGAGTTGACCGCCATTCTATGCTCTATTCTATGATGATGCTTAGAGTAGCTTTGCAATTTGATCCGCGCATGATTTGTTCTTCTTGAAGCCAGCCAACTTGTTCTGGTCGTAATTTTGAACCCAGCACATGTTTAATATTCTCCAAGGTGATGTCACTTAATATTTTGCTTGGGGTGGACAGGGACAGGAGCATGATTCCGCACCAGTTCTTGTTCTTGTGAAGACTTAGGTCACCCTTCTTTGGAAGTTTGACAAGATAGCCCCACTTTCAATCAATCGGGAGTCACCTTTCCTTCCTTCCTTGCAAACATTCTGCAGCAGTGATGTCAGCGTGTTCACTGTTGTCTCTGCGTCTGTTTTCAGTGCTTCTGGATAATTTTCACCAGGTCCTTCTAATTTCCTGGATTCCAGCAACCTTATGGCGATCAGGAGTTCTTTTTTGCTTTTGTCGCAGGATTTGTGTCCACTGATAGTTCTGTGGCTGGGCTGCTGGTGATATATCTGGACGAATTGCAGGTGGTGGTGGTCGAATCAGTGACTTTCTGCAGTGGTCAACATATCGCTTCTTTTGTTTCTTCTCTTTAAACTGAGTTCCCTTCACTCTCTCTCTTACTGGTTTCATCTGTGTTCATCTCTTCCTAGATAGTCATCTGGTTATTTGGTATTATATTATCAGGTCTTTGTCATTCCTACCTGCAGCCTGTTCTAAAGGTGTGTCTTAAAAGTGTATTTTGTCTCTTCTTTACTTCTTTTTCCAGTGTAGTGTTTTATAGGTTGTGTTCAGCTCTTCTTTTCGTTCTTCATCCCTGCACTGCACTGCTCCATCTCATTCACCATAACCATCCTCCTCTCCATCTATCATCTTCCATGTGGATAGCCGTGGACATCCATTCCTTGTCTCGTTTCCTCTTCCTCAATCCTAACACAGTTATGCGGGTTTCTCTTCCACATTGCTTCCACAGACTTTCAGTGTTCTTCTACACAGTTTTCCTCGTAAATGTTGCTTAATGTCTCCCACTTTTTCCTGATGACTGACGACATGAAGATATCCTCTGTAGTTTCCAACTTCACTTTCTGTTCCGGGTGTTCAACTTCATTTGTGGTATATCCCCAGCTTCGTTCATGGCTTTCAACTTGATTTTCCAGTCAGGCCCCTTGCACTAGATAGTGAGTGGTGTCAACCTACATATCCTCCCCTCCTTCATCTCATCTTTTATCCAGTAGACTGCATCTTCACTTTCATCACATCGAGATGAAGTCGATCTGATTTTGAGTATGTCTTGGTGTCTAATGTAGTCCATGTTGCTCTGTGAATATCCTTGTGTTTGTACACATTGCCTCCAATCACTAAATCACTGAATGTTCAGAAGTCTCCAAACAGTTCCACGTTCTCATTCATTTCACCCATGATCACTTCTCTTCCTGTGTTGTCCACTCCCCACTGTTTCGGCATCCATGTCACCCCACACATTAAAATTCTGATGTCGTCGACTGGAGTTTTATCCAGTACTGATTGTAGTTGTGTGTTGAATTACTCCTTATTCTCTTGATCTGCATTATTTTTAGGTGTGTAGTGTAGCACTGTATGATTGTAACTTTCTTTGCTTTTGAGTTGAGTCTTGCTGTCGTGATCGTGATCCTGCAGGCGTAGATTGGTTCCCACTGCATGAAAGCCTTCGATGTTGTTGATAACATCATGACATTTGCTCAAAAACTCAATGTGCTCATGGTTGTCGTCTGTGTAGCAATATCAAAGTAGATTATTGACTCTTCATTTAACAGTTTGGAGAATCCACTTTCACTCTATCTGCTGGTTCCTCGCAGATTCCTAGCACTTGTAAACCATGTCTTCTCATCCTTTTTGTGATCTAGGCAGCCATGCCAGCCAGCTTCAAACATCGTGTGGACATCCTATGTCTTTATCTTACTTTTGACTTCATCAAAGGAGATACATCTACTAATTGGTTCCCCGAAGTCCTTCACCAGCTGGCATCATTTCGTTTTCCCGATTCCAATGATGACTAAGTTTATTTTTGTTTTTCCACTTTTCATATTTTCTCTGTATCTTGGAGTTTCTTTAGTGATTGGATTGGTTCTACAGGATAGGGTTGCTAGCCCTATGCCCAACCTTCCCTCTTTATCCGTGCTTACGACCGGCTAGTAACTAGCGAACTGGTAAACTAGGCGATGTTTGGCAGCTTTAAAAGTCCATATAATTTACGGAGTAGAAAGTGAATTCTCCCTTTACTTACAGAATGAACCGTCTTAAATTAAGACTATTACTTGTGCCATGGTTACACAAACGCGTTATCAAGGGTTGAAGTTTTAAACGTCTTTTTTTCGAAGTATTAATTGCGCTTCCTTAACAGATTTTAAATTGTATTAGTTTACTAACTAGTCCTCAAATTATAAGACTTTTAGAGGAATGTATTCGTTTACATTTTAGGAACGAAAAGATCCCGTCTGCATCTTCATGTTTACAGATCAAATAATTTTCACAGTCGCTAGACGCAGAGGAAGTCAAGTTATCAAGAAACCAATATTTCTTCGACTGTACGTGCTACCAATCTGTAACAGTTTATTATCACATAAGTGTGAAATTTTGACATTTCCAGGTCATTTTATTTGACTGTTCATTATTTTTACACTCTAAGTCATAGACTTCCTAATTCGTTTTGTGAATATCTAACTAAATTACTATGATTTTACATAAGAAATCTTGTGAAATGATGTTTGTGATGGTGAGAATTTGTAGCTCATATCTTACGATAAAAGTAACTTTTCACTTTTAAACTACAGTTCTAATTTCAGCCGACAAATTTTTCACACCAAACAGTAGTGGTAATTCGTTTTTATCTTCACTAGCTGCGGGCGGTCTAATTTTATTTTTGTTAACACATAAATTGATGTCATATGGGTAAAACTTATCAACTTACGTTTTGTTTGAACTTCTCCTTGAAAATACGACCAGATGTGAAGATGAAACTTCAGTTACCACAAAATTTTACTCACAAGTCGGTGAATCACAAGAATAGAGAGTTTAGCAAAGGATAAATTTATGCACATTGAAAAATGCTTGAATAGAGTCCGTTTAAAGGAAGCTTAATCGCTACATCCTGTTGTAACTTATGAAGATATTTCGCTTTCTTGGATAAATAAAATGATTTTAACATGAAGTATTGGTTCAATATCCCTTCTTCACAACTAACTACTATTTGACTGTCTAAAACACCTCACCGTCTACTGAATAATCATAGACTGGTGCCACGAAAAGAATAAAATATTTTTCTAAGCGTTTTATGATGGTTTGAAAATATTTTTTAAAATAACGAAATATTGATTCTTTCTTATTCTGTAGCTCTAAAACAAAAGATAAAAAAGGTAATTGCTTTGAGAGTTTCTTCTACAGAAAACCGTTTAAACATACGATCTTTGACTTACATAGAACATTCTGCAACATCATATGCTCATCATTCGTCTGGAGTTTAAAGACTTGCATGCTTTTATAGAACATTGTTTCCACAGTGTAATTTTTAAGGTTATCAACCAGAAATCACAACAGAAACTGATGGTTTATTGATATCAAAACATTGGAAAGTAGCTAAGCAGATTAATATTACTGTTACTGCTTGCATTATACCATTGCTGACTGGACCGAATTGATCGGTCTCATGTCCATCCTGGATTCCACTGCTGTCCACGATCCATCGTTACCATAACTAGACTAATATTACTGTCTCATTAGAAAAAAAGAAGTCCATAAAAGTCTACATTTAAATTAGAGAACCAACTGATTTTAGCAATATCTCCCATGTAATACGTTGTACCAAATGACTGAAAATAAATGTATTGTGCCTTAAGACTTTATGCATGTATATATACTTTTGTCTTTGTACTGTATCGAGTAAACAGGGTTAATATGGAAATTTATTCCACTTTATTCTGTCGGTTCATTCGTTACACCCTAGCTCTTTATCATAGCAATATCAAAAGCAACCAATGGTAACACTGACCACTGTCAGTGGACAATTTGCTTTCACAGGTTAAAACTTTACCTGCAGCACTATCTGTAGGTGAGAGGAAGTACAGTACAGTAAGTACAGTAAAACTCTCTATGCGCTTATATTCGCGTGTACGAAAAGTTGCCTAATCTATGCTAATAACTTAATACATTATTATTTTTTTAATTTAAGACAATCTATTCGTGGAGTTGATGCAATTGAAAACATCAAGTATAAAATTTATGATCGCCTAGGCATTGAAGCCATTGAACTTGAATCACGTAAGTTAGAGTACTACCATCTAAACATAATTTCTTTCCATTTGTTTGCCGATTTCATGACACGTATTTATATGTATTCACCCCTAACATCTGTCTAGCTATGTTATGTTACTGAGTGGATAATAGTGAATACGATGAATGATAATAGCGCAATGCCATACTTGAACTGAATACGAGTAGTTAATGCTCTCCTTCATATCTGACACTTAACTGAGCCGTGAAAATCAGAAAACAAAGATCGGCATGTAACTGCAAAGCAGACAACATTGTTTGCTAAAGATCATTTCATTTATATACAGCTTTCCATCAAAAAATGTAACCAGTAGGTCATAAGGTGGAGGTTTATTTTTATTGGTCAATTGAAGGACGAAACTGTTCAATAAGAGTTTTCCGCCCACACAGTGGAACGAAACCAAGTTTGAAATCCAAAACTTTCACCTTGACGGCTGATGACCTTGAACTTTGATTTTGATTTAGGCCGCTTCCTAACACTACATTACTATAATGCAAAGATAAAGCCCATTTGGAAAATGCAAGCAATAGATGAACAATGAAATTAAATCATAATTCTCTGAAGTTCTTTGAACTTTGACGTTTGTTCTTAGATATCCCACCACTAGGATAGGCAGCTTCATTAAAATTCAATTACATGGATTAGGCGAATTAAAGGCTAATTAAGTCACCTAGTTTGGTAATGAAACGCCTAATGACAAACCTCAAAGCTTGGAGATGATCACACAATTATCATCCTAATCATGAGTCACAAGTGTTCTCTGCTACTATCAAAACTAATCCTGTTGAAAGCTTTACGGCATTCTAAGAGAAACATTTTCATGAATTCAATAGTATCTAAGACTTTGAAAATAATTTTCCACATGTAATTTATTTGATAGTAAATTGTTTTTCTAAAAATATGCTTATGGTAAACATTTGAAATGATTCATTACAAAAGCGGTTTGTAAATTAGAAGTTTGGTATTATAGGTTGCTACAACCAGTTGCCTACTGTTAGGTGTCTGTAGTTAGTTATACGACTTCATTTTCAAACGTTAATGTTAAATATCTTCCGTTGATATGAAAATGAAAAGTATCGCTGACACCGACAAGCGGTAAATGATTGATATAACATTAGTGTTTTCAGTTTAGTGCTTTGTTGGGATTCATTCATCATGGGCTGACAAGTTGGAGGAACACTGGGAACCTGAGAGCAAGGACAGCTAACTACTCCTACTATGGGACTTCTCAGCAGTGTGCACCTATGACCCCTTCATAGACGGAACACAGGACCTTCAGGTTCCGTGGTCATGATGACAATGAGTGACTGTCACGCTATGTCGTAAACTGACAGAAGTTGGAAATATGGACCACTGGATTCCGACAAAGTAGCTCAGTGGTAACGTGCGAAACGCGGAATCGGAAGGCCCTAGGTTCGACCCCTGACTACACAGGGTTATGAGTGCTGAAGGACGAAACAGCTGTTCAATGCCCCCAGGCCTCCAATTTTTCTTTAAGTGATATCAGTCGATGATGACTAGTGACTTGAAATTAGTATTTTTAACCTGAAAATAAACGGAATTCATTCGGCTGCCAATCTTACGTACAAGGCTGTCTGAGATAACCATGGCTTCACATAGTATCGATATTAGCTGACTTCTCATGACACACTAGTAAAACATTTTCAAAGGCCATAAGACTGGAAAGAAAAGTTCACTACTTTATGTTGCAACTTCTTAAGCAAGAAATTTATCATTACTGTCTTAGAAGCAGTTCGTTTTCAAAATTCTTACATTTTAAGAAAGAGATATTACTGAAAAATCGTCTACATGCTATGCGTTCTCAAAAAAGGAGGGCGGGATTTGAATCATTGATTCTATCTAGTGAGTTGGAATACAAACGTAATCACTGAGAGCTTAAAGTCGTTTCACTGTTTATTCTCTAGTAACTCATTCAGCAGGTCAATCGGAGATAAGAATTCAACTGTAACATTCTTGAGTGTCATCAATCCACTTGCAGTTGCAGATAAATCCTACTTTCAGGCTTTGAAAGTAATGTAATACAGGCTAACAGACAAGAGAAATACTTAAGGCCAAAACAGTAAATTGAGAATGATATAAAAACAATAGATATAAAACAACTGTCTTAAAGTTAGTTACAGATGAAGCACATCGGGAATCAAGTTGAATGTTCTTGACAAATTCTATCACATTGCTACTTTTTTATATTTAAACCGAAGTAGCTGAGGATATAGCATGAAAATAAAAATAGAGTTCATGCTTTTCTGCAAATTTAAGTAGGTAAATATTGATTCTTACTATCGTTTGATTACACTAAACAACATCTGAAATTCGACTTTAGTGTCACCTGAGTCTTCAAATGTCTTAGTAAAAGGTGATTGGTTGTTTATCTGAAAGAGGCTTATTTCATTGTACTCATCGTCATAACTGACTTTCACATTACAATTTAACGGTAAAGTCTGAAAGGTTGGTAGCTGGAGTGTCAACTTACAGGCTGTTATTTACTGCATCCATGAATACATATCGAATTTATGAAACTTTTTAAGTAAATGGTTTACCCAGACATCAGTTTATGGTTAAATATGTGCCTGTACACATCATTTCCTTGCAAACAACTCAGTGGTCACTGAATGCAGTTTTTTAACAATATCTTGTGAACTTCTGATAAGGAGATATAGAATATAAACTCAACTAATCCTAGAGAACTGTTGAAAAGCTCTGACTACTGCAAGGCTGTTTTGTTGAAAGCTACGATTTTTCAGAAGTACAAACTCATAACCTCATGTGAGATCGACCAAATAATGTCAACAAGACGAGTAATTCTCCGGATCCCTTCCAAAATAGCGTGGCGAGTGTGAACTGCTGAAGTATCCAAGACTAGGATGAAATAGATGAAGGGCGGTAGCAGGTTTCCAGTAGTTCTTTCTAGAATTAGTTGCCCCTAGAAGCGATTATAGCTTCTTACACAAATGATGACAGTCTGTGATGAAAACTCATTTTAGAATCTGAAAACTAGCTAATATTGCAAGAATTATAAGTTTGTTCTATATGCAGTCAACACACATATGAGTGAGCCTTAGCAACCTCTGTAAAAACCTGTTAAGTTCCACTTATTTCGGCTACAAACATGGTCGTTTTATTCAACAGAAGGACCTAAGTGGCTATTTCCACAATTGGTAAGGTAAGTTTGCCCTTCTTCATGTTTCTCAGTAAAGGTGTCAGTCTTGCTAGACCTTTGCAGGTGACTCTGAAGGTCATCCTAACAACAACTGGAATGATTAGTTAAACTTCTTTATCTTATGAAAATTAATTTTTTCCAGTCAGAATAAAGAAAAGTTGTTGAATATTGCAGTCGCTCCAATGGTGACATTTACAGTGACTCTTAATTTCTCGTCTCCTAACCCCCTCTAGACCTAATATGAGTAGTACAACAATTCTTATTAGTTAGAAACCCAAGTGAACTGTTGGTTGACTGTAAGAACCCTTTGTACTTCTTTATCCAGAAAAAAAGTTCATTATTCCCGAAATCAGAATCTGGAATTGAAAAAAATGATTAGATATTTAGTTGCAAGGAATTATACTTGATAAATTTAAGTACGTTTCTAGCATTTTATTTCAGCTTGACCTTACATACTTAAATTTATCGCAATGTCAGTCTTCAATGAGTGGCAATAAAACGAATCCGAAAGCCAGGTATGAGAACCAGTTAAATCTCCTTATTTTGTGAAAATCCACCTGAGCCGGAATACTGAAATCTGTTTGATTATTTCAGCAGCTGCTAGGGTAGTCATCAAAATCACTTGTCTTGAGTTAATTATGTTATCATTTGTCGAGTTACTCCAAAAGACACTCTATTCACTACTGGGATAATCAGTTGATTTTCTTCATTTCATGTAAAAAATGCATTTTCAGTCAAAAAGAAGAGACCATATTTGTTATTCCAGCAGTTTCTGAGGTGGTCTTCGGAGTCAGTCTCGATTGCCTCCATAATATCCTATTACTACAGGCCTCTATTCTGGTTTGCACATAATTAACAATAATTTGTATACTATGTACACATTATTTTATATCTCAAAATATACTTATTATATTTCGAATTCATATAGGAGACCGATCACTCATTCTAAGTATTGAAATTAGTTTACATTTTAGGTTGAAGTGTGACTTAGTTACTGACTTACCTATGTGAAACCAGTCATTTGAGAAGCCAGTCATAAAGGCATTCAAGAATAGTAATAGGTTAAATTGACTCTGAAATGCATATCATTATAAAACAGAATTATATTTTAACCTTAAAATACAAAATCATCAAGAAATCTATTCATTCAATGGCAATGCAAATGCAGCAAAAACTACAGAATACTGTTTACTTTGATAACTTTTCACCTGATTTATTTATATCAGATAACATTATTATGAAGTACTGATGTATTACTAAACTGGTCTCTGCCTACTTCATTACTGAACTTATAGGCATGACACTGTTACGACTTGCACAAAGTGTTATTGCAAGTATTGTGTTCAAGAGAACTTGTAAGCTTTATCAAGGTGGAAAAATAATAAGTCAACAAGCTTATTGTATTTTTGCATGTTTAGTTTGAAATAAAGTATGATGTAAATAGTAATTTCTTACTATGAACTTGTATAAAGTTATTTCACACTAATAACAGTAAGCATAGCTGATTTATCCATTCAGTTTTAAATCCAATAACAACATTCCTTTCTCACTTTCATTGTTGAAATTTTTAGCTACATACTGTAGTTGGAAGATGGAAGAGATTCGCATGAATTTGAAAATCATGCATATGATATGCATTGGCATTGTATAGAATAAATGATTTTAGGGAGATGATAATCAAGATGAAATTAGCCTTCGGAATTATGAAGTGTATACGCCTTAGACGTGAGAATGAGTGAAGGGTTTCAATATCAGGATAATATCAATTATATCAAGTTTAAACAAAGTATTCAATTAGTTGAAAAGATA